CTAAATTCAAGGTGGCCTGAGACCACGGTTTGCTGCCCTAAAACACTCTGTTTAGGCCATCTTGAAAATAAAGGTGTAGTTGGCACCTTGCTAGGTATAGAGACCCAGGGTAGCTATAGTGCAGCTACCAGGTATAGTACTTCAAGTTCCCTTTCCGTCAACCGCTCGATAGCCTCTACACACGCACAGCAATCCACAGCTTTGAAGTCTCATTCGTGCTTTGAACTTGTGTAGGTGTGTAAGAGGTATAGCAACATAGTATTTATACGGACCCAGGCTAGCTTCAGAAGAGCACTCCGATACTTCACTTACAGCACTCCTTGAAGAGCATGAGTCGCTTGCGCATAGCCACCAGAAACAAAGGATCTTAGTCTTACTGGAAGTGGAATGAAACACCAGGACCTTCAGAATGACCTCTTTGGAGTCTCCAAGTGACCTCATTCGGGGACTAAGTGACTAAGTGACCTCATTCTGGGATCTCGGACGGTCACTTTGAAGGTCCTGGTAGACACCAAATGATGTCAATGTGGATAGATTTGGCTACGGCCTAAAACATCGGATTCCATCCAAACCCCCCCCTGTGCAGAGAAAAAATCCGGGCAAAATGACACCGAACCCCTCAATTGCCAGGAAGCGCAGGTTTTTGTTTTGACATGGTTACCTCTGTGTGGGCAGAACAAGACATGAAGCAGATTGGACACGCGGCCGCAAGCAGCTGCGCGAGCTCATTTGCTTGCTTCGACGCGCAGTTGTCGAGAAAGGGAAGCGCTGGCTTTCGTTTTGCAGCTTCTCAGGTTCGGTACGACTGGACCCTCCAAACCATTCCTGGCACCGTCTCATGTCTTAGTGCTAAGACGGTTGGATCCTTAGAGCCCTAGGCCGGGATTGTGTTGAGGTTTGGAGTGTGGAACCCAAACGCGACCCTGGACCCTCCGTTCAGTTCCCTAGGGTTTTGAGGGACCAAGAGCTGTGAACGGAGCGTCATGGGGTGGCTTGGGCCGATATATAGGCCCCAGGCATATGTTCCATACATGGATGGCTGGGAATTGCTCCGACCCGTTGACCTGGACTCGGCCCGTTTTTTTGTTCGTACCTCGGAGTACGTTTTCCCCGTGTGTGGTAGCCTGTTCGGGTCCGACCTGCCTTTTTCGGTACGACCGAAGTCAGTCCGTCCGATCCGACCAAACCTCTCTCTCTCTCCGTCGTCCACTCACCCCGCAGAGTTCGCCCCAACTTCCGCACGCATCTGGACTTGGTCCCACCCTAGGGATCCAAGTATGGACCCGACTGACCCAGTACCTTAGAAAATGGGACATGACCCCATAAAAAATAGGTACGATACCCGTTTTGTCAGGAAAATGAGTACAAGTACCCATTTTCTAAGGTACTTTGGAGACTTATCTGCGCAAAATTGAACAATCATTTTTGGTGATCCAGGGAATACATTTGAGTATCCGACCATCCCCATGCAAGTCTGGGTTGGCTTCCCACAAGCCTGCCGCTGTTTTCCCACAAGCCCGTGCTCAATCTCACATGCGTTGTTTTTTGATGCGTTGTTTTTTGCAGGGGCCTTGGTGTGATGAGCCGGCCGAAGTTTCCACGCGTTAGGTGGTCTTTCTAGAGTTGTATCTGTAAGCTGTGAATAGCATCTTGTTTTTCTGCGAATTGTCGTCATGACTTTGTCTGACTTTGTCTCACACAGTGCAGGCCCTGAGTCGTGTCTTCGAGCCTGCGTCTTCCTTCTATATCACGCAACAGTTGGCGGCTCAAAATGATAACGCAAAAAAAGAGACACATATGGAGACAGAGAGAGAAGGGGACGGATAAACCACTAACTTCGACATTATTATGAGTTGTAGTCAAAACTATTGTAAAGGCATTTTATATAGAACGTTTCATCGGTATTGGGCTTTATAGTCCCATCCCAAAAACGATAGGGGACGCCCTAAAAACGATACCCCAAAACCGATACCCACCCCAAAGTGTCAAAATCTGAAAAACGATAGGGGACGCCCTAATTTACTTACGAATACAGCCCCAACCAATGCTTTTGACGCTTCCTTTCAATGGCGCTTCCACTGCGTAGCCGCACAGCGAAAGATTGGCGCATCCTGTTCAAGAACAATGAGGACATGCAAGCTGGCCTGAATGCGCTTCAAGCTGCAGCTTCTAAAGGCCGAGCGCTTTTGAGCTGGTCTCGAGCAGACGTCTGTTCTTCTGACGTGGAGAAGCACTGTGACTTTTTTCCGACGGCGCAGAACTAGACAAAGGCTGCTCTGAGCGCGAGGGGGGTTAGTTGGAGTTTGGTTGCTCCTGAGAAGCCACCCCTGCCGCCGCCTGAGCGGAGAGAGGCAGCTTCTTTGCTTCAGAAGGGCTTTGCTCTTTTGCACGGAGACTTGCAGCCTTCGAGGGCTTTGGAACCATACGAGATTTGGGCAGATCGGCAGTTGGGTGCCGGAACGTGTCTTGGTTGGGCATTGGTGAATGTTTGATGTGGATGGTGACTCTTTCTTAGACCGGCGTTTGATAAAACTATTCCCCCACCAATCACTCTGCATTGCAGGTTTGGCACAGTGGTCAGGGCAGTGGACAGCCGGACTGGCCGCAAGGTGGCCGTGAAAGAGCTGCCGCTCGATCGCTTGCTTCCTATTGCATGGTTTTGTTTTTCCCACGAAATGGGAAGAGTCTCAACTCAATCCAAACTCTTCCATCCAGGAGTGGGCGTGGTAAAGCTGTCGATTTCTTGCGGGAGATTTCGATATGCTTTAGTCGAGGTGGGAGTTTGTTGGCCTAGTAGCAGGGCAGTTGTCGTTCCAGAGCCGCTACAAGGGTGTGGGTTATTTGCCAACTGCATCCAGGTTGTGGGTTATTTGCCAACTTCATGAAAACGTTGGCAGCTCTATTCCTTCAAGTTTGCTCCCTGCTAGCGGGGCTTGTCTAGGATTTCACCCATGTCGGCAAGATGAGGCTAAGGATGTACCACCAAGTCTCATGTCTATTCAACGGTCCGAGGTTGACATGAATCGTTGTGACCCTGCCTGGGTGCTCAGAAGAGTTTGACAAGTGTTTGGGTGGACCCAGTGTTTGCGTGGACCCAGGCCCTCACATCCTGAGACCTCTGGTGTGCTCCAAGAGCCGTTGCACAGGTTTCCAAGCGCACGTGTTGAAACATTCTACCTAGTAAACCAAAGCGTGGCGGTTTTGTTTTCGGCGCTAGCTCTACGACCGCTGGCTTTGACCACTTGTGGGGCCAAGGCTTTTCACTTTCAATCTCCAAAGCACGGGCCATTAAGGTTTTTGTTTTTTGTTAGTTTGCAAGACCAGACTGTCAATGGGCACTGCCGGCAACCATTCAGCTGTTGATCGCTCTGCTTGCCCAGGCTGTGTGAGATGCAGGGAGTCCAAGGACGCCGAAGGGCTTTGTGACTGGTGGTCTCGGATTGCTTCAGTATATTTTACGCGGGCAGCTCTATTCCCTCAAGGTTGCTCCCTGCTTGCGGGGCTTGTCCAGGATTTCACTTTTATCGACAAGATGAGGCTGAGGATGTGCCACCAAGTCTCATTCCTATTCAACCGTTGGAGCCCGAGGTTGACATGGACCGTTGTGACCCTGGCTAGGGGTGCTCAGAAGTGTTTGACAAGCGTTTGTGTGGACCCAGTGTTTGCGTGGACCCAGGCCCTCACATCCTGAGACCTCAGCGGTGCTCCAAGAACCATTCCACAGGTTTCAAAGCGCAAGCTTTGAAACACTTTACCCAGTAAAGCAAAGCATGGCGCCTTGCTTTTCGGTGCAGGCCCTCACATCCTGAGACCTTGTCGGTGCTCCAGGAACAGTTGCACAGGTTTCAAAGCGCACGAATTGAAACACATTTACCCAGAGGCGTCGATGGGCACTGCCGGCAACCATTCAGCTCAGTGCGTGCTTTTGCTCCCGGAGTGCAGGCATGGTTTGCACATCTTTGGCCGCCCAGGAATTGAGAATACGTCGAACATGGAAAAGCAAGCGGGGCAGATAGCACGACGTG